ACTGGCCCAGCGTGCAGAACCACTACACCACGAAGGCACGCTAGGAAGGCAGGAGAAATACCTTATATACTCCCTCTTTTAAAGGGCAACTGTGGTTTTTAGGGGACCCATTCGTCAAATCCTGAATGTCAAGAGTCATCATCCACAACCCTTTTAAACTGGTGTGCAAAACTTAAGCAACAATGTAAAAATTTAGCAGATAGCCATGAAATTGCAGAAAAGGAGGTCTGGAGATCAGTACAATGAACACGTAAGTCAGTAGAAACATTATGCGTATGCAAATATCAGTAATGAAACGTCAGAGGCGACGTGAACGGACACAAAACATGTGATATCGGCGCGCAGCTCAACAGTAGAATAAAAGGAAGGACGAAGACGCAATTCAACATATTTGCTACAAGTGCCAGTGAGTTAGTTCATGAAATATGGCTAGAAAAAATCACCTAGATGACTTCACACATGGAAGAATGATCGGAAAGCTGGAGGAGGGGCGTACTGTCACCAGTGTAGCTGCAGAGTTCGGAATCAACAAAAGTGTTGTTTCGCACGCTTGGAAAGTGTTCCAAACCACAGGTGCAACTGTTAGAAAGGTTGGTGGTGGCCACCCGAGGACAACAACTGCAGGATATGACCGATATATCGTCCTGCAGGCGAAAAGAGGCCGACAGCAGCCAGCAAGTGCCATTGCTCAGCAACTCTGTACAGCAATGGGGCAACAAGTGTTGGGGTTTACTGTGGCCAGACGCCTTCACAAAGGGGGCCTATTCACCCGTCGTCCTGAACGCTGCCTCCCGTTGAAAGTTGGCCACCGACGCCACCGTTTACAGTGGTGCAGAGAGCAAAAAAAACTGGACAACTGATCATTGGAGTCGTGTCCTCTTTGCGAATGAGAGTCAGTTCAGTACCAGAAGTGATTCTCAACGCGTTTTGATTTGGAGAGAGGTCAGGACACGGTTTTATCCCAGTAACATCAAGGAAAGACACCGTAATGGTGGTCCTAGAGTTCTTGTCTGGGGAGGCATTATGCTGAATGGGCGAACTGAGCTCCATGTTTTCAACAGAGGGTCTGTAACCGAGGATCGCTATTGTGAGGAGGTACTCCTTCTCCATGTGCATCTGTTCCGAGGTGCCGTTGGCCCAGACTTAATTTTTATGGATGACAATGCACGGCCACAACGGACTCTTGCTGTTGAGAGGTTACTGGAAAGTGAAGATATCATTCAAACGGATTGGCCAGCATACTCCCCAGATTTAAATCCCATTGAACATGTGTGGGATGCTTTGGGGAGATGCATTGCAGCACGCTTACATCCTTCGGAAAACACTCAACAACTCAAACAGATGCTGATTGAGGAATGGGCACTCCTACTGCAAAAAATGTTGCACCAGCTGGTTCTGAGTATGTGGAGATGGTGCGAAGCAACCATTGCAGTGAGGGGAGGGCATATCCCATATTAAGGACATCTGCTTGTTGTTCTTCCTCTTGGATAGACAATCATGAGTCACGATACTATGTGTTCAATAAAGCTTGTTTTTGTTTGATTCCCTACCGTATGCATTGTATCCTTTTTTCAGCTCCGATGCTTTTGTCATCCTTTACATACATAATATTCTCCTTCATTTCTGCATTTCATGTCTCTCAGTTGATTTCTCGTGGAGTTATGGCAAAAAAACCTGCTGTTGCTTAAGTTTTTGCACACCAGTGTAATTCGACCACCAGTGTAGAGACATTCGGATTTTTTGGAAGCCGGAGAGATACAAAATTAGCAACCGCCTTCACCGGGAATCGAACCACGGACCTCTGCAATACCGACCCAGTGTGCAGAACCACTAGACCGCGAAGGCACGCTAGGAAGGCGGGAGAAATACCTTATATATTAAAAGGCTATTTTTACTATGCCTCTAAAAATAGGGTTTTTTCTTGCGAACTAACAACAGAGAAAGTTCATAAGAAGCCTTCACCATAGTTTCTATCCATCATTTCTCTTCTGGAACAAAGATTGTTGGCCAGCTAAAGAGTTTTTTATTTATTATTATTTTATTGATACATTTCATTTGCAAGTGTGATGTGACAAGATATTTGCTGTTTAAACCAAGATGCAGTTATTTAAAATGTCAGTCAGGTTAAATTTTGTTTTTGACAGTGCTACACAAATTCTGCATATCAAACAAGCAGGGTTGAAAGTATTTTGATGCGTAAACAAAAATTGTTCTTTTCAGATAGGTTTAAAATCACAAATTGCAATATCCTTTTCATATTTTCTTTTCAGTGTCAAAAGTTTACTCATAGACATAATGAAAATAAAATTTTTAAAACAGCGATGCTTAACACCAAAACCTAAAAACAATTTTAAAAACGTTTAATGTGGCTTGCTTCACAGTTAAAAATGAACTGAGCGAGACACCCAGAGTGTCACATTTGCTCTCTCTTAAGAACAACCATAGCAAGGCAACTCAAACCATTTATTTGGTTTGTTCCATGACCACGCTGTTTTACCGCATCCTTGGTGTCAAGCAGTGCTCCTTCTGGTTCTTCTGTGCATTCACTAGCATATGAGTAGAGTTTTTATGGATTTTGACAAAGTTCCTAAAGACGACATTATTATTTTTTTTTTCAAATTTTTAAAATTTTCAGTAAGTCTTCATATGTCACTGTTAAATATCTGCCATGTCACACTGTGGCTTGCATGCTGCAGGTTAGCCATCCATGAATTAGCCTTTCAGAATTTAAGATTTAATTCTTTTACATTACTACTATTGAAATCAATGGTCACTGCTAACAAACCATGAACAATTGAAGCATTAAGAATAAACATTGAACACTGCATTAGGCATGAGTTGTTGCATACAGTCATCGAAAATTGGATTATAATTGAATTCGGTGTTGTGCACTAAGTAAAGGTTGACACTTAAATTACATTTTATTCAAAGCCTAATGCCTTAATTTGCACTTAAAAATAATATAAAAATAGTATTTGAAATATTTTTTTTTAAATTTTAAAACGATATCATTCTTATGGAAAGATCCTTTATAAGCGCACAAAAGCATTAAAACGAAAAACTACCAACTAAAAATAAGCACTGTGTAAATAATTCCACCTTTTCTTGACCTATAATTCTTGGTTTCAATGATATTTGCATGGTACTTTAGTTATTTGTTTATCACTGCTAGTGTTCTTTATTTTCCTTTAAAATAACTAAAAATAATATGCTGATTAAACCATCGATTCCAGACATTAAAAAATTTGCTACAAAGAAACTAGCTAAGCCTTTTCATTTGATAAACACTAGCAAAATTAGTGTAGTTGGATCAAAACGCTGAGCAGTTCAAGAATGGTAGCAGCCATATAAATTCTCATAGGTCTTGCTGTTATCTACAGTGACAAAAAGGTATGTGAATACACAATCTGCTTTAGATAAGTTTGTGAAATGCTGCATCCATCAACTTCAAGATACAAATTTGGATAACCTTCTACTCTCAGCATTCAATATCAAGAGCAGTCTAAAAAGCATTCATCTGAAAGAGATAGAAGACAGTAGCATTCCTTCAGAGACAACCATGTGTCTACAGACTAACTTTCCCATTATAGAGCCAAATTAACAGGCACAAGACTTAAATTTTGAAATAGTTTTTTCAATTTTTTTAATACCCTTTTATATTTTCTCATAATTTTATAAATGATAATCAAATAAATTCCACCACATTTCACGTATAAAATAATACTTACACATACATATATGTAAATAAATTATAATACATCATAATCATATATATATACAGTAATAATATGTATAATAATAAATATTGCAATTTTTCAAGAAATTATATTTAAACAATTTATAAATTTGACTGCTTAAAATTCAAGCTATGAAATACATTGCTTGTGTAACTCAAGGGGCTGCTGCATTCACTATGCTTTAAATACTCTGTTACAGGTTATTAACTAATCACTTTATAATTATTTTGACTATTGAAATTTTGAAAAACAGAGCCAAAAATAGCTTCATAGAATCTCTCTTAATTAGTGTTAAAAATTTTCCACTATAAAGATTTTAAAATATTGTTTTTCTAGGTGTTCAGTATTCATGGATTAATTTTTGTACATAGCATTTGTTGTAACTATTAAGCAGTTTGAACTTTGTAAAGTAAATAAAAATAAGATGTAGGAAAAAATAAGTAAATAAATGAACAAAAAAAAAAAAAAAAAAAAAAAGCATCATGCATAAATACTACTAAAATATGAATTTTTATATTTTTTATCTCAGTTTATCATTTTTGAAAAAGAAACTGCTTCAAGATTTTAAAATTTTCAATATACTGAAAAAAAATGTTTGCAAATATAATATTCAAAAATTTTAATTTATAAGTAAATGATGTAAGAGCTAATTATTTTTAAATGTAAGAGTTAACTTATTCATTAAAAATAAATCTTATAGAATTGCTACTCAAAATAGAATTTGTTGCTGGGCTGAGATTGGAAAATGGCATAAATAGTAATTGGAATTCTTCTTTTTAAATCTATTGTTAAGTAACTAAAATTTTTATTTATGCAAGCAATTTATGTACCTTATCGTGATGCTTGTAAACTGAGAAATGTTCCAAGGTTATTTACTGCCCTTTTTATATTTTTTATACATGTACTTATTTTTAAAAGTTTTTTTAAACTTTATAATAAAGCTATAAACTATAATTAATATATTAAAACTTTGGAAGAATGGTCTCTTTATTTATGTTGAGAGCATTTGCAAACACAAAAATGAAGGGTATATAACTGAAAACATAATTGAGAATGCCTGTTATATTCTGCTTTATTTCAGATATATTAAAGTTATTATATTGCAAAATTCAGGTCTTCTTCTTTTTAATGGGAGTTAATAAATTTCATGATACTATGAAAGCTAATCTAGTAAAAGTGAAAAATCATTTTTCTTTTTTATGTGATTTCTTTTAACATTATTATTTTTTTTAATTTAATTACACTTTGTTCTCATATTTATAGGTTCTGCATTCCATGGTTTTAAGGAAGGCATAGTCAATTTTAATCCTTCTTACAAATTTGATGTTGGAACAAGTAGATTTGATTCTACAAAACAAAGAGTGCCATCTTATACTGTGAGATATGTTTGAATATTCTACAATTTTCATTATTTTTGAGATAATCTATATAATTACATAAAAATTGAGGATTTATCGTTCTAAATAACAGTTTTAAAGGAAATGATTTCTCAAATGTGTGATAAAGATTTGATGTTTATGTACTTTATTTTTCTTTAATGTCTATGTCTAAGACTTCTGTTCTTATAATGAAAGGCTAGCCTCCACACACACGCTTTTAAAAGAAAGAGCAGTTTCTGTACTTAATGTATTTAGGTAAATTTTTTATCAATTTAGGCACCTTGATATTGTGCAAAATTTATATAAATTTCTCACACTGAAAATTACATGGAAAACTTACATACTGTCCATTATTATATACACTACTGTCCATTAAAATTGCAGCACCAGGATGGAATGATCTGACGAACGTCAAAATCGCACGAAAGGAAGAAGAAGTTGGGATATGCAGATGATTAGTATTTCAGCGCATGTAGACAACACAGGAAGGAGAAACGATATCTGAAGCACTTCATAAAGGAAAAGTTGTGTAGTGGATTTCTCATTCTGAAAGTGCTTAGTAAGGTTTGTAAGGTTTTGTTTGTTTGGTCAGAATATCGTGTTATGCCTCTAATAATAAGAATAAATGCTTACCAGCAAGTGTTGGAATTCCATAGAGGCAGGATTGTTGCCTGTTGAGAGTGCGGATTATAGTTCTGTGATATCGCCTCTTGCACTGGTTGTCATCCACCCACAGTCATGCGAATATAGAATCAATGGGTTGCTGAGGGTCATACAGGCATGCAGGATCTCAGTACCCTCCCATGGCTAATGCCAGAGAGGACTCGCATATTGTCAGATGAGAGGACAGACATGTTGAGCTCAGCTCTGCAAAGCCATACAACCACATCATGGACCATTAGTCAGGAAGTGGGCATGTTTGCAGCACACCCAATGTCAGCTCGTAAGGTGCGTCGATGTTTGCAGCAGTGTGGACTATCAGCAGGGTGACCATTACTTTGTCTTTCCTTGACAATGCAGCATAAAGAGAGATGGGGATTCTGGTGTGCCAAATGGCAAAGCTGGGTACAGAAGTGTCACAATGTTGGATATTTAAATGAGTTCCAGTTCTAAGTGCAGTATTCTGGTGGCCGTATATGTGTCTGAGGAGACCACACGTCGCCTGCTTGTATTCGATATCAGCATAGGGGCCTTGCACCGGTGTGATGTTTTGGGCGGCCATTGGGTACATGACACGCACATCTCTAGTTTGAATCAATGGTAATTTGAATGCAGATGGGAACATTTCTGACATCTTACGTCCAGTGGTTGTGTCCTATATTCGAGGCCCCCAAATGCCATGTTCTAACAAGATAATGCAAGACCACATGTTGCACGTCGTGTCCTGACCTTATTCAATACACATGGTATTCAGTTGCTGCCCTGGCCTGCATGGTCTCCAGATCTGCCACCCATTGAAAACATCTGGTCATGGGTTGCTGAGAGACTGACCCGCCACCCTTCTCCAGCTAATACAGTTGATGAAGTGTGACATAGACTTGAAGCAGCATGGAATGAGTTGCCCATCTCTGTCATCCAAGCCCAGTTTGACTCCATGCCTAATGAGGTAAGGGCTGTTTTAGCTACCAGGGGTGGCAGCTGTTTCTACTAATTTCACACACCCCTGTAAACCTCCAAAATGCTTACAAATTTAATCATTTTGTCTTCATGCCGTACTGTTTATGTGCAATAAATATCTTTTTGTATTTGCTTTTCTTCATGGTGTTGCAGTTTTAATGGCCAGCTGTGTAATACACACAGATGATACTTTTGAATGGCAGTTATTCTAATAAAGGTCTAGAATGGTAGACAGGCTGGTTACTATAAACAGAGACTGCTGGAGCTTTCAATAAATATTGTGTTGGCATCAGCAGCTGTATGCTACTATAATCTCCAATGCCTTCCATTTCTCGAATTGCTGAAAGTCATATACGGTTAAAGTTGCATATAAGGGCCGTATATGGTTACAGTCACATATAGGGATCAATTACAGTTATTTAATTACAATATGAATCACAGTTATACAGTAACCAGACCCAAATATCCCCAAATAGTCACCAAAACCATAGCCAGCTTGGTGATATCTGAAGAATTTAGCAAGATAACCATTTACCTCAATGTTAAATAGACTTGGCCCTGTATTTTTATTTTTCTGGCTGAGATTTGTCTCAAGCATTTCATGTTACATTATACAAAAAATATTACAATTTCACAAATAATTTCAATAATATTATTTACATATATAAAAACTTCGTAACAGTATGTTTTCACGTTGGAAGTATCATGTTGATGTGTATATCTTTGTAGAAAAAATTATTTGGTGCATTTTGTCTTTTAGAAAAGATTTAGGATTTTTGCCATGCAAAGATTACAGTAAAAAAAATCAGATTTTATATTTGTAGAACTTTTTGATTACAGTACTGAGATGAATTTTTATAATTGGAAGAGAATAATGTCAATATTTAAGGAAATTATAATCGATATTTAAGGAAAAGTCTTAAATCAATGTTTTGAACACCCCATAAAAGGTAATTAGTTTATTTATCTGATCTTTAATATTGAAATTTGGTACATTTAATGGAATCTTTTAAATCCTTTAGGACCGCATTTTATACCGGTGCAGAGAAAAGTCATCGATCTATTGTGTTCATTACAATGCAGTATCAAGTATACTGACTTCTGATCACAAACCTGTTTTTGGTGTTTTTAATGTCACTCTGAAGCCAGGAAGGGACAAGTATGTATAATAACAAATTTTAGGTGTTTCTTACTACAAAACGTCAGTACTTTTTCAAAAATATGAAAGTTCTATAGAATTTATAATGAATCTTGAAGTATTTGGTAGAATATTTGAATTCTTTGCATTTTTTTCTTTTTTTTCCCTTCCAGTGTGCCCTTAGCAGCTGGTATGTTTAAACGTGAAGTATATTTAGAAGGTAAGTTCGACCCACATGATAAAACATTAAAATTGTATTCACATGTGATTTAATGCAAACATCTTTTGCACCAAAGTTGATTTATGCTAAAATCACTACATTTAGTCCAAATATTTTACTGGATGCTGCTTTCCATTTGTTTCACAGCATATTTATTGATGCTGAATATCTAAACAAGTTAGAAATATTTTGTGTAAAGGCTCCAGAAAAATTCTGACTCACCTTTGCTTTAGAATAGGGATTTCCAACCATTTTCTTGAATTGACCCCTTTTAAAAAGTTTCTTCATCGATCTTCTTAAGCTTTTCTCTGTATATTCAGCATACAGTGCAATCATAATACAAATAATTGCACATAAATAACTTAAAAATAATGATTACACTAAAAATATATATAAAACATTTTGAAAAAAATGGTTTATTAGATTTATCTTTTTTCACTTTTTTGTATTATTATTTGGTTTTGCAAATATAAAATTTTCAGAATGAAATCCATTCTAACTGCATAAAAATTCGGTTTTAATTAATGTGATGGTTGCACTTGATGTTATTGATGCAAGTATTAATATTTGGCATAAAATTGCTTAATTCTTAAATCACCTCATTCAAAAATATTGAACCTTTTTCTTGTTTCCCATATTACTGATTTAACTAAAGACTGCATCTACTAGGTAAGAAGAGGAAAAGATCAATAATGTTGGTTCAGTAATAACTTTTATTTTGGGCTATTTTGCTTGGATGATAAATTCCAAAATATAGTGTATCCATGTGTTTCTAATAAGATTTGTACTTTATCATTCTTCTTCAGAGCAATCAGCTGTTCTTGTATCATATCAAGATCAGCTATATCGCAGTTCAGCGGTTCTGTGAGCTATGGTGGCACATTCAAATTTTTAAGATCTTGGAAGCAAAATAAAATTAAAATTTTTTAGTGTATTTTTTCTGTTATATTTATTTTATGTGATATCTTACAGGATATAATTTATATCAATAAACAATTAACTATGCATTTTTATTAATAAATTTTTGTAATCAATGTGATCTTGATTATGCCGATCAATTGTCAGTCATAGTAGAGGCTATCGACATCTTGATTATCATTGACCCCCTTTAAAATTTCATCACCCCTTCCGGGGGTCAACCCTAATCCTGTTGGCTTAGATTTGTTTGATTAATTGATTATACAATGCATTCAAGGGCTATCTGCCTAGAATAAATAGGCCAGATGTCTACTCAATGTCCATTAGATATTGTAATGTTAATATTACTGTGCATGTCGATTTCTTTTAACTAAATAATTATTGTGATACTTAGCAGTAGTTATCTATGACTACTTTCCATTTTTTAAGTTTTTACAGTAACCACATTCTTTAGAAATTAAATTACTCATAAATTTTTCCCTCTCAATTTCTGGACGATAAAATTAGTTAAAAAGGGGGGAGGGAAATATGGTATATGAAAGATATGCGCAAACAAGTGCAGTACCTGTTGATAGCAAATTAAAAATTTTATCCCCAAAAGCGAAATGAGTAGAGGAAATATAAATTACATAGCTGAAAGAATGTCATGTAATTAATAAGTTACATCATTTAAAGTATTATCACTGAAATTTTAAAAAAAAATCCTAAAACTGCAAATTATAACAATTAATGAAATAGTCTAACAATGTTAAGAGAAATGACTTATTTACTTACTGTATTTGAGTTGCTATTTTTTTTAAATGAAATAATTATTTTGCAGGATAAATTTAAAAAAAATTTAAACCAAGCATATAAAAATATTCTATTATGAATTTTTCTGATGTAACTTTTATCTGATGGAACCACTATTTCATTCAGTATTCACATGCAAAATAAATTTATCTTCTGTGGCTATTAACACTTCAAATATCTTAAAGCAATGCAAGCTAATCATAAGGTTTGCATGCCTGTTGCTTTTATCCTTCAACTCCCAGAGGAGGATTATGACCTACTATACAAACATTCTTCAGGAACCTGACGATCAAGCACTAGGAAATTATAGGATCAAGCACTAGTTTATCAAGCACTAGGAAATAATGGCTTCTGGTTGATGTATTGGCAAAGGCTTGATGTTACTGAAATCACATTTAGTGCAATTTTACTGGAAGTTACTTTGTATCTGTTACATTGCAGTTTACTGACACAATATACCTGGCATAGATTAAATTGTTACATGCATAATTTCTCAAATATATTGAGGAATATCTTGCTTAATTATTCTTTTGCCATGTTGAAAACAACTTTCATTTGTACAAACACAGTGACAGAAGAAGTATTCGAACAAAATGGTCAAAATGATATTTTTAATGTGAATTGTTTTACAAAATCTTGCCCAATCAAACTTTTTTAAGAAGAAAAAGTTCACTGGTGGAAAAAGAGTAAAGAAAGACTGGTTTGATGTGATCCAACATGGATGGCAATTGGAGTTGAAAGCTATAATTATAGGAAAATCCCCCCTCCTGATGTTTTAAGGATTTAAAAATTTTGCCAGTTAGCTAATGATGCTAACTGTAACATCTGATGGTAAGGTCTATCTACCATCAAATGTGACTAGCTTATTGCAACCTATGGAGTAAGGGGTTATTCATAATTTTAAATTAAACTATAGACAACTTCTTATGAGGGATTGTATAACTGCTTTTCATGGCAAATCCTCCTCTTTCATTGTTGTGCTTAATACAATTTTCTACAGAGCGAAAAGTTGGAGCATGATTTCCACCAAAACTATAGCCAGTTTCTTCAGCAGCTTTCAAAGTAAATTGTTCAAAGAGAGTGAGAGTGAAGATGATATCCCTTTATCTGACTTGGGCTGTGAATTATAAAATGGAATTTCAAATTTGATTTGAATGAATATGTATTCATGGACGCTGAAGTAATCGTGAACTCTGGAGAAATTTCAGTGGTGCATATTGTTTCCGAAATAAAAAATTCAAGCTGTCCAGAGTGTGCTGATAAAAGTGATGATGAACTGGATCAGGTGCCAATGTATAAAGATGCAGTAACTGCAATAAATATTGTTAAAAGATTTCTAATTTTCTTGTAAAAAATAGGCTACAAAGATTTTGCAATGGTGCAAAAAAAAATTGAAAAAAATTATGGAAGGTAATAAACTGATATTAAAACAAGTATCCATTAAAGATTTTTTTCAATAAAATAGTAAGCAATTTTTTTAGTTTATTTGAACCGTATAATGCAATTTTCTTAGTGTGCATTTAGAAATAGGATTTGCATGTGTGTATTTCTAATAATAATTAGAAATATTAAGTGTATATATGTCCTATTTTATTTCTACAATACCTGGCTTTGGTTAAAATGAAAAATTTCATTAGCCTGCTAACGTTGACCGAAACTTCTTTATTGACTTTCAAACAGTAAGTTAGTTGAGGAACGGCGAAGACCACACAAACACCGACTTCAGTGGCGGCTTACCAACACAAACTCAGAAGAACCTCTGCTTAGTTGAAACTCCAGTAATTCACAGCAACCTCAAAGCTCTAAACGCGAGCTTTAAAAACCTAACAAATTTGCGTCTGCGCCGCTCCTCGGTACAAAGAAAGAAATACAATTTGCATAACATCGAACATACCCCCAGCCTTGAAGTCCCAAGGGGGTTCAAACAATAAATTTAAACTGTTGAACTGCATAAACCTGAAAAATAAAAATTAAAGTCTTCTAAATCAGGAATTAAATGGCAAGCGCATAGCTTTGCTATAGGTCGTTTTTATTTCACCATCGTTAGACGTGCGTAAACTCACCACTCGAACTTTCTCATCCAGACCAGGATACACTTTAATAATTCTACCTAATTTCCAACGTAGCGGAGGTAGATTTTCGTTCTTAATAAGAACCATATCACCAATCTTCAGATCTTGTTGTAACGTGCACCACTTGGGTCTCTGCTGCAATCTAGATAAATACTCACTGCTCCAGCTCGATTCCAGAAATGTTGAAATAACCTTTGCACGTTCCTCCAACGGTCACTGCAGCTCATGGTTTCTTGAATTTGGTTAGATTCTGGAATAGCGCTTAAAGCCGCTCCGGTTAAAAAGTGTCCTGGTGTTATCGCCTCCAAGTCGCTACAATCACTTGAAGCTGGTACCAAAGGCCTAGAATTAAGACAGGATTCAATTTGGGTTATTAATGTCAAAAATAACCTCGTATGTTAAAATAAGTGTTCCTAAACATCTTTTTAAGTGATGTTTCATAGACTTGATACCCGCTTCCCAAAGCCCTCCAAAATGAGGGGCAGAGGGAGGATTAAATAACCATTTAATATTTTCTGAAGAAATATAACCCTGTAGCTGTTCATCACGTTGAACAATAGAAAAGGCTTTCCTTAATTCTTTATTAGCTCCTATAAAATTCGTTGCACAATCACTGTGAATTTCACACGGTTTGCCTCTACGAGCTATAAACCGCTTAAGTGTCGCGAGGAATGATTTTGTTGAAAGATCTCCAACTAATTCTAAGTGTATTGCTCTTGTAGTAAAACAAATAAATAGACATACGTAACACTTAAAGATTTTGACTCCTCTACCAGGACGATATTTAACGTTAAATGGTCCTGCTAAATCAATCCCTACACGAGAAAAAGCTCTACTTTGAGTAACTCTTGAAGCGGGTAAATTCTGCCATTAGCTGAGTTGCAGTTTGCGCGCTCTAACTCTACGGCAGATAACACATTGGTTTATACACTTTCTTATAATATCTCTAGCATTCACAATCCAAAATCTATGTCGTATGACAGAAGTGAGTAGCTGCGTACCTGCGTGAAGATACGTGTCATGATAATGCTTAATAATTAAACGCGTAATATTGTGATTCTTAGGTAAAATCATAGGATGTTTCTGATTATTTGAAACTGTAGAGTTTCTGAGCCTTCCGCCTACACGCATTACTCCTGCGCGGAATCCAAGAAAGGACTTAAAGACAGTAATTTACTTGATGTCTTCAAGGGTTTACCAGATTCTAAACAGAATAATTCTTCTGGAAATTCGGCTCTTTGCACAATCCTAACAATCATAGAAGTAACTTCACAGAATTCTTCAGT